TAAGACATCTGTTATCTGCTTGTGCTGGGAGAAGAGCTCTATGTACAAATTTTCTTGCGGTATAAAGTACTTTGAGTGGTTCCTCTGGATCTCTATTAGCATCCTCATTATCATCAGATTCTTCCTTAGGTCTTCCATATATGTGAAGAATAGTATAAAGCCATATACAAACAGTCCATTCACTCCTTGCGTGCGTCAGTAAAATATCAAGCTGTAGTTTACATAAATGTGCAATATTTCCAGACTGAGGTGAGTGGTGAACCTCGAAGTTCTCAGCTGGTTTGGTTTTACTTTCTCTCACCCTTTACATATAATGACTTCCACTTTCTTCCTTCTGGAGAAATACAGATCAGCACCGTTTAAAAAGATGAACAAATCATAACGTTGCCATGCTACATTCTCTGTAATTTATTTAATTCTTCAGTATTTTGTATTATGATTCTTTATTGTCTCCATTTTTACTGGAAATACTGGCAAGGATTGACTCAATCTGTTGACGGGTAGAAATAAAGTAACTTGGACTTCAACCTTAATTCCAAAAACATGTTTCTGGATGTCACAGTGACCTTAATTATTGACCACCAAAGTCCAATCACTATCATTTTTCAGTGAGTATTTAGTGAAAGTTTGAAAAACAAACCTGTAAAGCCCGACACACTGTTATTGTGATCACTTTGTTTATTGCAATTTCCCCCATGCAGTTGCCTTCGGTTCGACACCCAATTCACCAACTTTGCAGCTGGTCTCCAGCACATACGCCTTCCTCTCCGGTCGCCAGCTTCACTGTAAAATGAAGACTCTTTGTTAGGAAGATCATCACCACCTGACCGGACCTGACCGGACCTGCCTCCCTGCCACCGCCCCCTTGAGCTCACTGCACCACCCCTCCCCTGCAACTGAGCCAGGGACCACACCTCTGCCACAAAATCAAAGTTTAGATTCACAAGAAAATTGGGCCACCTGAAATGTGATTTTTGTAGCCAACTTTATGGTGTCTGAGCACTTAGAGACTTAAATCCACAATTTCTTTATGTTATTTGGTCTACAATTTTTGTCTGCAATCCTTCAGCAGTTATTTAATCATTTATAATACAATCTTTGGCAACTACTTGATCGACACTGAGGTTTATACACAGACATAGAGGATTTATTACTTTATAATTTAGTACAAATTAGTCTCATAAAAAATACAGAATTGCACTCAAAAAATGATAACAGCAACTTCAACTTCATTGTAGTTACTTGAACATGCACACTTACAATCCTCCGCTAAGCTTCAACATATTAACATTTTGTATTTGAACATGTTAATATGCCAGTTTTTAGCTCAAAGCACCACTGTCCCTGGCAGGAAAAATAACTGATCTTTGAAGATCACAGTTTCTGTCAAACAAAAGGCTGTAATTCAAAACTGGTTCAGTGGTTAAAGGAAGCCAAAAAAATTGTTTTTGTTTGCTATCAGCGAACACAGACCTCCCATGATTAAAGAATCACTACAATCTTCTGTTCTGAGGCTGCTCTGCTCGTATTCACATTTTTTTGATGTATAAATGCACTTGGTATATCATGAAAAATAGAATTGTAATCTATAGTTATTCCATTTAAAGTGAATAATCTCATCACATATAACACATGTTCATGACCTTCACTGCTCATCAATAACAATAAAGTTTGAATGAGTGAAACATTATAGATTTCTTGTTATGGTGTGCCGTGTAGGTCATATTTAAAGCCTGATAATCGGTGTTCACTTAGTGGATAAATGAAGTGAGAGTGAAGCGGCTCCTTAGAGAACAACCAGAGGAAGCAGAGTTTGCAGCAGAGATGGAAATGAGTCGGAGACATTCATTTATTCATCGATTTCCTCGGCAAACAGCTGGGAATGCTCCCTGGGATCCCGAACCAAGAACTTCCTTATCTACTGGCAACATACTAGAGCAAGATTAGGAAAAATAAATGCATGAAGGTTACCGCTGTCTTGAAATTATTTGTTAGGACATTACACCAGATGTTGCTGTGGGATCTCAGCTGGTACTCTATTATAGCCCAGGAGTTCTTTCATGTTTAAATGATCTGTTTCTACAGATTTTCCTTCACACATTAACGGCAACCCCTGTGGATACACTGTACTACTTAAAGAATGTAGAGTTTATTCTGGGTCTTTTGACTGTACCTGGATTATTTTAGTGCAGGGTTATAGCATCAACATCATGTTTTTATATTCATGTAAATTTAATGAACTGGCAGCCTGAGGAAGTTATTTTGTCCTATAATGCTCTCCTCTGTGGCAAATTTAAAATGTATGGGTCGGCTGGGGGCAATTCTAACAATTGTCATATTTTTGTGAGACTACAAATTTCAATCTAATTTCAGTAAACAAGCTTGAGTCCGAAACCTGACTCTGCACATGCTCAGTGAGATCCTGTCCGAACCTTGATAAAGGTAAGGACACGAGTTTGAAGAAAAATACTGATTTTGAGGAATAAAACTATACACATTTTTCTTCAGACTTAATCTTTAACCTATATATTCAAAATGACAACAAACAACTCGTGCCACAAATTTTCAACATGACCCCAAAATCAGGTGCATCTGAAACACAGGTGCACATCGGTTATTGTAACGTGAAAAGAAAAGTGACCAGTTTTCTTGTCATCGGTTAGCAGTACTACACAAACTAATGAGAACTAAAGTTCACAGAGAATAGCAAACATGACCTTGACCTTGGGCAGACTTTTGATGAAGATCCATCAGGTGACCGTCTGAAACTTTCACCAAAATCCGATCATTCCAGGAGGAGTGAAACTGTGGGTAGATGCACGATAGACACTTCACCACAGCATAAGATCATCGGTGGCCGATTGAGCTAAAAATATTACAGTTGCCTTGGTCTTCCAACCTTGATTTTTTCCCACAGTACAGAAATGAATATTTATGCCTGTGTACCACTGAGATTTTTTAATATATACAGTATATACTGCATAAATATACAGCACAAAGTGTCTGTGATATTGATGGCAGCAGTGAGAGGATTTATGTGAGAAATTACTCAATATATAAAATCCTGGAGGCACATTCTATCTCTTCTCTGTCTTCTCTTTTTACTACTGTTTAACATAACTACAAAACATGGAAACAAGACATTTCACTTGGATTTCGAGGAAATAAAAACCCAATCGTATACTGTGCAACATATAAGACAGCTGAAACAATTCCAGTTGCAAACTCAGCTCATGTTAATGATAACTGTGTAAACGCCATCAAATGAGACAGATGCAATGGATAGTGCATTTACACTCTGAAAAAAACAAAAAACAAACTTGTGTTGTTTTAGTTAATGGTAGCTATTAAGCTGCGCTTCTCTGCATGAATCCTGAATCCTTGTAAATAATGACAACGCTGGCCGATACTTGCTTGTGGGTTGCTTGTGCACGCTGGTATTATGTAGGTGCTAGCAAGTGTAAGTGCCAGCAAGTAGATGAAGATACCAGGAAGTCACACACAGGAATGGATAGAGAACTTGGTCGATTATCAGAGTAAAGTGCTCAGCGCACACTAAATGCTTCACTTCCTGTGTAATTTGAACCCATGTGAAGGCTGTAACGAACCTGCACTGGAGACACACCCGGTGTCTTACTGGGTAAGGCATGATTTACAGCACTGTGTTGAATCTGTAAAGTATAGGGCGATGTAGATGTTTGCATTAATAATACTTGTGTAGTGTTGGGTCTGTGTTGCTCTGCAATCACAAGGCAAACTGAGCTGTTCATACTGGATTTGGAACTAATAAATCTTAAACACAAACAGCACACAATATATAAAAAAAACCACCTACTGAAGCACAGGAAAGATGGAAGCCTTCAGGAAGTCTGAATCTATTTACATACTGTCACAGCTTTGAAAAGGAGAAAAACTGCTTATGTCTACTCTGGAAGAATACTGGCTACTGCATTAGCATAATGAGCAAGCAAGAGACAATTACAGCCTATTACATGTTGTTTCACTGAGGTATCATCCTTGTGCTAATCAATATGCTATGTTTACAAGACATATTACTCCCAAACAGACCTGCCATTGTCACTGAAGTCTGGTTATTGTAGTGTGTAGTTATATTTCTGAGAAGGTGCAGGTCTGTATATGCTGTAGTCTGGATCAGAGACTTAATGTAGTATTATAAATCAAGTCAACAGTCTACAGGCTCTTATGTAATATAGCTTTTATTTCTAACTGCTTCACATCCTAACATGCAGTGCCTTTAACCAATCAGCAGTAAGTATAATCTTCTTTATGGGTAATATAAAATGGTCTCAGGTTACTTTTAATATTAGTTTTAAGAGTTTTAAATGTTCACAAGTCTTTGAAATCTTGTCTCTGTCATCTTTGCGTCTCCTAGTTAATGAAAGACCAAGAAATGTCAGTTCCATTACAGCAGGGTGGCTTTTGAACATCAAATGCCAGCAAAGGGCAACAATGAAAAATTAGCTCTTACAGTCTTTAATACACGGCCTGAAGTGTCACTGCAACGCCTGCTCATTTCTTTACTACCAAGCAGAGTAGAAAGTCAAATTCAGATTTAATGAGTCACGCTCTATTATAATTGATGCTAAAACAATTTAGCATTTAATATAGAGCGTGCAGCGTGTTGACAGAGTACTCCTACAGATTGCTCAGATACAAATGACAGAAGTAGATTTTTTCCCCTAAGATCAGACTGGCACCTTCTTGTTTACTGTAAGCCTCACATACTAACACGCTGTGTTGTTCAAGCTTGCATTTTTTTCCCAGTTAAAAACATTCAGGTCCAAATTAAAAGAACGTATCACCATTCCAACTAATAGTTAATCCATAATCCTATTTTTTCCCCAAACCATGCCAAAGGCACAAACACTATTTGCTTCAATTTTTTGCATATTTGTCACACTTACATGTTTCAGATCATCAAATATATTTTAATACTAGTTAGGTACTTTTGTTTGGAAGCAGCAGAATCTGTTCCTCACCTTCTCTTTTGTTGAGTTTGGCGAAACCCGGGGCGTGGCTGCTGGACAGCTGGGAAGAGCTTCGGAAGGAAGATGGCGGCAGATTGGAGACCAGTGCGCTGTCACACACCTCTGTCGAGAAATATCAAAACATAAAGTATAATGAATGTCCTTCAGATTTTGACATTTACATGTAAATGTCAGCATGTGCACTGCTGTGCTTTTTGAGGGTCTATAATTACATTTGTTTCAACATCTCCACACAGATATAGCCTCCTCAAAATATTCCTAGAGTGAACAAAACAAAATTAAAAGTGTGAGAGAAGTAAGCATAGTTGAACACAGCTATGACGCATCCTGAGTAAGAGCACTCTTAGCTCAAGAAATCTGTTACTGGGCTTCAGTGCCAGTTTTAGCCCTAATAAGCAGAGAGGAGCAGTGGATGTGTTATCTTTGAATTGCAGGGTTAATGTCAGCTACAGTTCCTCGCTGCACAGTTAAGTAGTTCACAACAGTAGGTTGACGCGGGAATGTCTTTTTTTTAAGCTTTAAAATCAAGAAAAAAAAGAAGAAGGAAGCATTCAAACTTTTTATCTGAGTGAAAAAAAGCTGAGTGGTTCAAAGAGTAGAGATCAACAGCAAAAAGCACAATGAGAATATCACAATACCCGACACAGCTGGAAATGGATTAGTCTCCATCTCTTAGCCTGAGTGAAAACCTGATAAAATGTTATAAACAGCGGGGTGGGAGTGCTCTGATGCTGAGAGGTAAAAGCGTTGTCTCTGCAAATGATCAGCTTTTTTAAGATAAAAGAAGTTTATTCGGACAGCTTTTGATTGTTTCATTCTAAAGTCTTAAAGAGGCGCTAATGACAGCTAAAGTGTTGAGCCTGTGAATATAACAACATGAGTGTCAGAGAGGAGTCTAATCATTCAGGAGCTGGTTTAATGTTCCCCAGGTAGAAACGGGTCTTTCAGCAGTAATGGCTCCATATTAGATGAATGAACAGCGTAATAATGTCCAGTTGGATGAGTAAATGGTGTAATTCTGGCTCAATGGATAAATGAACGTTGCAATCATGTCGTGTTGCGGAGATGAATGGCGTCCTGAGTGAGTCATTATAGGCTGGATGCTGATGGGGATGATTCAGTGTTGTCAGAGGAAACCTTTACATGTTTCTCATATTTAGTTTATGGATGATTCCCTGAAATCAAAACATAATATATTGAACATTATGCGGTAATTAACATTAATTACTCTTATTTTAATTGGAGCCTCTCTCACAGTCTCCAAAAAAAACAAACAAAAAAAGAAAGCAAGCACTTTTTTGTTTAAATTAAAGCAGCTTTCTCTTTCATTTATTATAGCTACATGACATAGAGAAATCATTTGTAAAGGCAGAATACAAATGAATGTTTGTTTTACTGTATCTGATTGTCTTTGGTCTGCACAGCATAATCACATCCCACAGATATACACACGGATTCATGATCACCAGCCCCATAAATATTCATAGTTTTCCTCTCAAGCTGCAAACTGTAAGCTAAAGCCAAACTATCACCGCCTCCATCCAAAGCCTCTCCGTTAATGGATGTTGTTCTCCACCACTGAGACAAGAGCCAATTACTATGATTCACGCAGCAGTCCGATCTGGGCCCAGAACTCTGACAGCAAGGCTTTAGTTTCGATTACTCTGTCAACATCAGTGCACTTCATCTCAACAACACAAGGTCTTCATCCGCCTCCCGATAATTTCAAAGAGGAATACCATTCCATTTACAGCAGCTCTTTTCAAATGAAATTTGTAGCTAGAGCCAACAACAATATTGGCCTATTTACCTGTAGTTAAAGAAAATTTTGTATCAGTTTAGAAAAGAGCAGGATTTTAAATTTTAAAGCACTGACGATGCTTCACAAACTGAACCCTGAAATCCTGGAATATTTATTTAGTAACTGAGGATGCCAAGTATTTGGATACACAATTAAATACACTGTAGAGCCCAAATGTGGCATTCACTCTCAAGATAATGGTCTAAATGTAATTTTTTCTCATTTGAATGCTTCAAAATACTGGATTTTGATATTATTAAATCTATATCTTCGGCAGGTGTTTTAACCAAACTGCACCACACGATAGCAATGAGCAACAGCTGTACTTCCAAACACACCACAAGTCAGTTGAGGATTTACCGTTTTACACTTCTGTTAAAGAGAATACAGAAACAGTCAACAGTCTTCTCCAATATGGTCTCACATAGGAACCCTGAGGAGTAGCTGTGACTCAGGTGGTAGTCGGGGTTGCCCACTAATAAGAAGGTCAATGCTTCAATCTCAAGCTACAGTACTTCATGTCAAAGTGATCCTGGACAAGATACTAAGTGCCAAAAGCAACAGTTGATATATCCATCACAGTTTGTGACAATGTAAAGTGTAAAGTGCTTAGAGTGGTGAGTATACTACAACATATATACCCAGAATATTTGATCAAAAGGCTTCTTCACCATTACTTATGCATTAGCTGTCTCCTGCAGCACATCCAGTACCTGCATGTAGCATTTTCTGCCTGCCAATTTTATGTGCTGATACTATTTTAATCCTCCTTAGGATAGGAAGGAGTATTTGCCTGTAACATCAAAAGCACTGCAATGTACAGTGAAAAGCAATACAGTGGGCAGCTACTGCTCAAAATTCAATCGAAATCTATCATAACAATTTTTGTTTGATTTAATAAAAATATAAAGACTATCATCAGCCTTAATTCCAAGCTGCTTTCAGCTAGAAAGATCTGTACACTTTGCTATGCTATCCACCCAGCAACAGTTTGTAGATAAAGTTAAAGAGCAGCTCAACATAATGAGTCATTTCACAGGTTAAAAGTCTGATATTTCCTAAAGGAACTGATACAAAATGAAACAAAAAAAAAAGGATGGCGTGCAAAGACATACAAATAAATACTAATTCTTGTGTAGTGTTGTGATAGACACGTTTCACAATACAGCTGGGGAGCTAAGAATTAAAGCTTATAATTATACAGTCAGTTTATTAGGTACACCTTGCTAGTGCTGGGTTGGACCCCTTTTGGCTTCAGAGCTCATTTAAGTCCTTGTGGCAGAGATTCAACAAGGTCCTGCAAACATTACTCACAGACTTTGGTCCAGACTGACACTGCTGCAAATTTGTCGCTTGTACAACCATAATGTGACTCTCCTGTTTCACCGCATCCCGACGTGCTCTACTGGATTGAGATCTAGTGACTATGGAGGTTATTTAAGTACGATGAACTCAGTGACCTCATGTTCAAGAAATCACTTTGACATATTTTGAGGTTTGTGATATGGCATTTTATCCTGCTGGAAGCAGCCATCAGAAGATGTGAACAAAGGCATCAACAAGCTAAGAAACAATACTGAGGTAGGCTGTAGCATTTAAATGATGCTTAGTTGGCACTTTTGATACAAGGCAGAATGGTTGCACGTTTATTCAGTTAACCCAAATTCTGACCATACCATCTGAACGGCGAAGCAGAGATTGTTTTGTTTTTCCAGTCTTCAACTGATCACTTTTAGTAAATTCTTGCATATTCTGCACTAATTTTCCAGTTTTCGGCTGACAGGAGTGGCACCCAGGATGATCTTCTGCTGCCGTAGCTCATCTGCTTCAAGATTAAATGTGTTGCACGTTCAGAGATGCTCTTCTGCACACCTTGATTGCAATGAGTGGTTATTTGAGTCACTATTCGCATCAGATCAAAGCAGTCTCCTCTGATCTCTGGCATCAACAAGGCATTTTCATGCAGAGAATTGCTGATCAATTGATATTGTCTTTTTGTCAGACTATTCTCTTTAAACTCTAAAGATGATTGTGTGGGAAAATCCCAGAGGATCAGGAGTTTCTGAAATACTCAGGCCAGCCTGTAAGTCACCAACAACCATGAAAGTCACTTATATCATGTTTCTTTCCCATTCTGATGCCCAGTTTGAACATCAATACTTCATCTTGACCATGTCTATGTAGCTAAATGCACTGAGATGCTGCCATGTGATTGGCTGATAGATATTTGCATCAGCGAGCAGTTGAACAGGTGTACCTAATGAAGAGGTTGGTGAGTGTATATCCACGTGGAGGGATAAATGTCTATGAATATTTGGTCCAGCTGCTTGTTAACATTAGAAAGCCTTCAGCTTGGCCTCAGTGGCACTGCAATTTGATTGTAAAATTATTGGGTATTAACCGAGTCTGAACTCTGTTTAGAACAGTGTGTTGCAGCAGTTATCATTAAACATCAGACCATATAACACAGTTATACTGCACTTTATAGTTACCAGAGTGGAGCAGAGGCTCATACATATTTAATTCTAGCATTTTAAATGCCATCCAGCTACTCAACAATCATCAGAAGGCGTCCAGCTCTTTTGTCCTCTGAAGTTCCTCCTGATAGTCTTTATTCCTCCAGGCTATGCCCTTACTGACACTTATAACTGTGGGTGGTGGGGGAGCTCTCAGTATGAAAAGCAGGTGAATTACAGTAGTCTGAAGAGGTGAGATGAGAGGGACGGCTCTCCAACGCGGAGTGCTGTAATCCCTGAGGAGATAATGTGTGGTGAGAGCACAGCCTCGCTGAGGAAACAGCCGAGAGAGAGCAGTGGAGTTTTAAAACACAGGGCCACTTTTCCTCGACGGAGCTGTGGCATTTAAAAGCCGATGTCCCTGACAGTGTGACTAGTGGAGCACAAACACAGACAGCTCAGAGGAAAATGGAGCTAAATGTTGAATACCTGCTGGCCTCTGTAGCCAACGAACCTCAACACTGACCCTGGCTGTGTTGGACAGAGAGCCTTTCTGAATATTAAACTGCTGCACCTTCCTGAAAACACCTCCTGTCTTTGTGTAAGCTTCACATTTAAGGGTGTTAGACTAAAAAAAAATATAATAATGCTTTTAGGCATTCAGATCACCACAAAAACATTATTCATGATCAAAGTATTATAAATTTACACAGAAAAGATAATTCTTCAATCTTTGGCAAAGTGAAATATCTCCTGGCAGAAAAAAGAAGCATTCTTTGCCTTTGATAAAACAAAAACTTGAGCACCAGAACTGGAAGCATGTATTGAACTCTGAGTGATGGGAA